CTGCAGGGACACATTCTGGGGGCTCTAGGGGAAGTAGTCTTGTTTGCCTCTTTTAGCTGCAGGCATTCCTTGAAGTGTGGCTCGTGTCTGGGCAGGGCTGTGTCCCCTGTGTGCTTGCTGGGGTGTCTCTTCTCCTGTTTTTGTGAGGACACCAGTCCCAGTGGATTGAAACCCATCTTACTCTCCTCTGATCTCATGCTACCTAATTGAATCTGCAAAGGCTATTTCCATATCAGAGTTGCATTCACAGGCACCAGAGGATAAAGCTGGAATATATCTTTTCGAGCATCAACCCAAAGCAACGGGGGCAGAGAGGTTAAGAGAGTGGAGATCTAGGAGAATCATTTGCTTTCTTATAATTTTGCTGAGGGCAGGTTGAGGAGGGAGCATGTTGAACATGAACGTTCCTTGTGCTCCTTAGCCATCCGCAACAGTGAACGCCTCCAGGCTTGAAATAATTAAGGGGATACAAGTCCGAACATTCTCAATTAGTCGATAGCACACCTTTGCACTCTGGCCAGTGAAGCCAGGTGGGCCATCAGGTTCCAGGGACGTTCCTCAGCTGTGAAATTTCTTGGTGCACGTGTGGTGAGCAGCCACCTGGGAAGTCATCCTGCCCACCAAACTCACAAGGGATTTTGTTACCAACGATCAATTTACATAGTGAGAAAATGGATTGTTTTTCTTACTTGGAAAAGACTGCTTCAAAATGCAGGTTTGCCCAAACACCTCATTTGGAAAACATTGAGCAAGCTGTTTTTCAGTAAAGGGTTAGCAAATGGTGCTTCGCAACAGTATCCCAGGCAGAGAACATTCCATATAACAGTGATCTTGGGTGTGACCTTGGCTTTCCCAGCACCCACTTCCCTTTATTCAGAGACCAGCATATGGGAAGCCATCTCCCCTCTTTTGTGCATCGGAAGGATGGCCATCAAGGTTCCCAGTTTCCTCTGAACCAAGCAAGGTTGTGAGGGCTCAGATTGGGTGACGGGACTCTCTTTTGGGAATCTAACTGTCAAGAAAGGATAAAATGTAAAGTAAATTCAACACAACAATAACAATTCAAGCAGATTCATGTCCCTGAAGTCCTGCTCTCCAGCTCACCCAATCTTCTTGCTTCCCAACTATTTCCATAGACAGATCAGCTATGTCATTTGTTCATACTGCAATCTCTCTCACTACAACCTAAGACTTGTCTCCTTCAATTAGCTCATATTAGCTAGTGTCAGGAACCCTGGTGGCATAGTGGGTTATGCATTGGGCTGCTACTCTCAAGGTCCTCTCTACTCCCACAAAAAGTTACAGTGTCAGAAACCCTCAGAAGCTGTTCGACACTGCTCCATGGGGTCACTATGAGTTGGAATTGACTCAATAACAGTGAGTTTGGAGTTTCTGAGAGCTTGTGTTGCTTGAAGCCCAAAATAGCCTAAGCAACATGATTGACCTGCAACATTTGTGATCTTCATCATCACCATTGTGATCATGTCAGAAAAAGACACCATCCACATTCTGAGATCTTCTCCACAGTAGGTGCCTCCCTTACATGAAACCAACTTCAAAGTTCTTGAACCTATTGACCCTGACTCATGGCCCTTGTGCATAATGGAACGAAGACTTCCTGGTCCTGTGCCATCCCCATGGGCAGTTACTCTTTGGACAGCTGCGATCCATGAGATTTCAATTGGCCAGTTTTCAGAAGTAAATCAGCAGGACTTTCTTCTTACTGTAGTTGGGTCTGGAAGCTCCTCTGAGTCTATTCAGCATCATAGTCAGCCATAAAGAGACATGAACTCCTGATACATGGATGAACCTTGAAAACATTTGGCTGAGTGAAGAAGTCATTCACCAAGGCATAAATGTTGCACGGTCCCAGTTACATGGAATACCTAAAATGGGTAAGAGTAGAGAGGCTGAAGTTCGTTAGTGGTAACCAAGGGCAGGCAGGAGGAAACAGGAGGGGGCGCTCATGCTCAGGACACACGGAGTTTCTGTTAAGGGTGATGGAAAAATAAGAAACAGAATGGTGATGGTTGAACAACATGGTAAGCATGATTCATGTCACTGAAATGTACACATAAAGAGTGTTGAAATGAAACATGATCTACTGCATATCTATTTACCCACAATTTTAAAAAAAGGATGCATACCTCTACAGAGCCTGTTGACCTACAGTGCATATGCTAGACAACTTCAATGTAAGGACATCTGATGATTGCTTTTGCTCATTTCCAAATCTTGGACAATTACTCTCTACAGAAGATGTTGTTTTTCAAGATTATTGTAGAAAGGAGGAAGGACGGTGTATTAGTCTAGGTACTTTGGAGAAACAAATCCACAGCGACTCATGTATAAGAGAGAGTTTTATGTAAAGAAAAGGTGCATCACGAAAACATCCCAACCCAATGCTGCCCAAGCCCGCAAGTCCAACATTAACCCATTAACCCAACACCAGTCCACAAAGTTCTCCACCTCACAAAACAGAGGCAATAATGCCGACTGCAGGAGGAAAGCTGAGTCAGTGAACGTGTAAGCATCTCAGCACTGGCAGGGGTCTCCACATGGCTGCTCCAGCACCCAGGGCTGCATCGGGATAGATCCATGCGGCTTCTCCTTGGGGATGTCTTGTAGGAAATCCATCTTGCAAGCTGAAGCAGGGAACTGCTAAGGCAGCTGCACCCGATGCAACCATCACAAAACAAGAGACCCGAGAACTGATGTTTTCGTGATGCACCTTTTCTTTACATAAAACTCTCTCTTATACATGAGTCGCTGTGGATTTGTTTCTCCAAAGTACCTAGACTAATACATTATGGTACCAGGAGTGGGGTACCATAATGTATTAGTCTAGGTACTTTGGAGAAACAAATCCACAGCGACTCATGTATAAGAGAGAGTTTTATGTAAAGAAAAAGTGCATCACGAAAACATCAGACTAATACAGACAGTGTGGCAAGGGCTAGCCTGACACACCAATGGGACATAAAAATGATGTCCTATACGAAAATTGACAAGTAGGTTGGTGGATGAGGATGAGGTGGGGAAGAAGGAGCTTTTGAGTGTCAAGTCTTCAGCTCTACAACTAAACTAAACAAACACTACAACTAAACCTGACAAAGACCCTTATATCCCATCACTTAGTGTTGGACTCTGACTCACTCCTGTCTACAAACTGGACATAGAACCTAAGCAGTCATGGCAGAAGGCACATTCTAAGAGACATTTAGCAAGCAGGATTCAACAAAGTCTCGGGAAAATAGTAGACAAAAAAATTGGACTTCGACTCTATCCCTTACAAAGAGTTTGGAGTGGAAGTAGATGTGCTTGAGTAGAGACCCTTAAGAGACACCCACTACATGCACTAAGTGTGCCTCAGTATGTTAGTCCTAGAAGAAGGGTCAGCTCCATTCCCCATTCAAGGAGATTCTAAGAGCTGAGATCATTTCAGAGAAACGCGAGGCAGACTCCCCTGTCCATGCCCTCCCCACACCTGCCTTACTCCTAACTCAAGGTAGCAAGATAGGAATCAACCTACCCGAATGGACATAGTGGGGCCTTTATCTCAGGAATCAACTAGAAGCCAGTCTTGAAAACTAGGGTATCTGGTGCCTCAGTGTCAACCAAGAACAGGGGATCCTGGACTGCAGAATAATCTGTGGGGCTTGTTAAACAGAGATATGCAAAGAACTCACTCCCTAAGATTCTAGTTCTATAGATGTGGGAGGAATCTTGACACTTTAAAAACTCCATAGGCAATTGTTGATGTGACGCCTGGGTTAAGGGCATCTAGGTAGGGGCCTGATAAATTTGATCATGTTGTTCTTTGGTAGCAGACTTGAGGTACTATCAAGTCATGGAATGGCTAACAGCCCTCAATTTTATCTACAGGTAATTGGAGCCATTAAAAGCATTTGTGCAAGAGTTTTACACTATTATTATATCAACGAAGAATAATCTTGAAGTAATGTGTAAAATGGATTGGAAGCAAAGGACGGAGAGTCAGGAAGTCCACATAGGAGCCTTCTTGTGAGCCCTCATGAGATCTTGCTCACTGCCATTGAGTTGATTTCAACTCCTGATGAGCCCCCTAGGGCAGAGTAGAACTGCCCCTGTGGGTTTCTGAGACTGTAAGTCTTTAAGGAAGTGAAAAGCCTCATCTTTCCCCTGTGGAGCCGCTGGTGATTTCGAACTGCTCACCTGGTGGTTATTAGCCCAATGTGTAACCCACTGAGGTCCCATTGTTCCCAAATACAAGGATTAGCCGCAGTAATGGAAAACTATGAACAGATTAAAAAATCATAAACCCTAAATTTGCCCATGTCTCTGGGTCTCTCCACATAGAGTCTCTTTGGAAGGGGGGTTTGCTTACCACCTTCTTCATCTCGGGATTAGTTTCTAGTGCTTCTTGACAACTCAGATCCGGTGCCATGCCCTCCAATAGACCTTTCCCTTCACTACGTCCTCAACTTTGATATCCTTTCACAGTGGCGTGGCCTCTGTTTTTATGAATGTGTTAATACATATTGCAGTGGTCTAGTTGCCTGTTCCTTTCATTGTATTTTCGACTCTTGAATCCAAGCAGGGTAGTTTCTGACCTGAGACACATAGGCATAAATCAAGAACTGGTTCAAGTCTGTTGTTGAGCTTATAGCATTGCCAAGTAGGACACAGCTATTACGTAAGGTTTATAGGGTTATTTTCTCCCGAGGAACTGAAATCATAGATCTTCAAAAAAAAGGAAGTGTCCACCCCTACCAGGAAGTCACCAGTTCCTCAAACTTGTGAGTGTGGGTCACATGGTTTCTTGAGCTGCACATAACCTTCTGATGCCTACTAATATTGATACCACTTAAGAAAGCTGCTTTGAAAGTCTAAAATTCTCCTGCATCCTCTGCAGAAGTTGCTCTGCCAAATTTCGAGTTTCTCTTTCTTAAGCCCCAGCCCCCTTCTTCCGCTTTCCTAAATAGCCCACTCTGAAAGGTGCCAGAGGAGAGACAGCAGACAACGACCTCGAGTCTGAGACTAACAACGACCTCCATTCTCAGCCGGCACCCCAGCCCCGAGACCTGGTAAGAGCGGGAGCCTCTGGTGTGGGAGACGAAGGCAGTGCAGGGGACATCATGATCACTTGAGGAGTGAAGAGGGAAGGGGTCACGGGACATGTGACTACAGGACAAAGAGAAGGAGAGAGTCTGTCCATCAGAGGAAAGATCTGTTCACCCCCCTTTCCTCCCCACTGAGCTTCAGTCTGTTTTTAGAATAATGAGACTCGAGTGAGAAGAAAAATTGCTTTTTTTTTTTAAAAAAAAGCTACGAAATCTTAAGAGATCCATGAACATCGAAATGGTTGCGATGCATGTTTTGCACTGATTGCTTCAACAATTAACGTTCTTTCCTCTTTCTACGTAGAAAAGATGGTGCTAGATCTTCTGGGACGCTTTCCTCTCCTCTCACTGCTGCTGGGACTGTGGGGGCCCGTGCATCTACTCTGGGCTTTGCCTAAGAATCTCACCAGGGCGCAATGGTTTGAGATTCAACATATCCAGACAAGTCTTCTCCCATGCAATAGGTCAATGATTAATGTCAACCGTTACACTCAGCACTGTAAGCCTGAAAACTCCTTTCTGCATGACTCCTTCAAGAACGTGGCTGCCGTCTGTGACTTTGCCAACATCACCTGCAAGAATGGCAGAAACAACTGTCACAAGAGCCCAAAGGCTATCAATATGACTCAATGCAGCCTCCTTACAGGAAAGTATCCGAACTGCCGCTACAAAGAGGCTGCCCTGTACAAGTTCTTTATTGTTGCCTGTGACCCTCCGCAGAAGGGAGACCCTCCCTATCAGGTGGTTCCCGTGCACTTAGATAAGATTGTGTCATCTTTTGATGTTGTTTTTAGTTTTTCATCATTGTTTAATTTTTTGTAATCACTTTACCTCTCACTTGGCGCAGGTTCACTATCACTTTTGATTTTTCTTTCCTTCTACTGATTTCTCTGGTTTCTACAGAAGGAAGAGGACGATGGTGGGAGACTTAGAGTAGCTAGAATTCCAGATATGAGTTGAGACAAAGAGTAATCCTTTTTCTCTCCTCTTGGATCTCTGCAAGTTCTGAAGGAAAGTACTAGCAGAGAGGGTGAAGAAGGATCCAGCCACCAGGTTTTTAATCTCGCGTCTCTAACAAGAAAGCTCTGTTGCACCTTGTTGACAGCAATAAAACCACCTTCTGCTGTAATTAAATGAGTGAGATTGTGTTTTCAATCTTTTCACATCACTGCCATCCTGGGCCGATCTAGGCTGCATTCACTAGGATTCAAAGAGCTAGTCGGTCCCAAGTCTTTAGGCAAACCTGTGAGGTTATTGAGCTCCCTGGAGTCTCTGCCCCTTCCTCACACCTGACACTTCTGGGACTTGGGAGTAAGAAAGTCTTCCACTTCTTCCTTTTTGCTCACAGATTTACACATTTCCCTTAAAACCATTGTCTTTGTGGCAACAATACCTCATAGAGAATCTAAACTTTTCACACACAGATTTGAACACTGGCAGCTAAAGGGATCTTGGATGTTTTCCATTTGCTTCTAAATTTAATCTGGAAATGTTTTAAGTATAAGGAATACTGGTGGCACGGGTTAAGCATTTGCGGCCAACCAAAAGGTTGGTGGTTCAAACCCACCCAGTGTCTCTAGGGGAGGCCTGGTGATTTACTCCTACAAAGACTGTAGTCTAGTTAATCCTCTGGGGCAAGTCTACTCTGTCACATGAGGTTGCTGTGAGTCAAAAATCAACTTGTTGACATCGAACAACAATTAGTAGTATTAGGGATAATCATCCACTGCAGACTTAAAATCATTCCCCTATTATTTATTAGCATGAAGAAAAGCATATATCAACAATAAAACTACTGGATATATAAACACGCTTCAACCTGCCCAAATACAGTAATATCAGAGAAATGCTGAGGTTTGGGAACCACATCAGGAGGTAGCATGTGATCAAGAATCAATGACACTTGTGATGTGGTGGGTTACTTTTGTTTGGCCTTTCTAGCGATTGATTTGTAATTCTCACTAAATGACTGGGTGTACCTATGCAAATAAGGTGCTGTGTTCCACCAAGGGGGTTGGGCAGCTTGCTAATGATGCAAATAAGTGGCAAGGCATTTGTGTGTGTGTGTGTGTGTGTGTGTGTGTGTGTGTGTGTGTTGAGAAGGGGCGGGGCAGGAGAGGTATAGAAAAGTCTAACAAAGGGATTGGTCAGTTTAACAATCCCACCAGACTTAAAATAAACCATCCCAGAGTTTGGAAAGGGGGGAAACTCTACCACCCAGAATGAAGGAGCAGAGCCCTTTGGGCACAGGGCCCTTGTACTGAGAACTTCCTAGGCCGAGGATACAGAGAGAGGAGAGTCGTGTCACCAGAGATGATGCAACGGGGTGAGATGCAGTGACAGCAGAACCAAGAGACGGGTGCCAGACAGATCAGAGGCTTCAAGACCCACGAAGCAAGATGGTAATAGTAGGGTGCCTCTGAACACTTGACAGAGCTAGGCTCACCCACTCATGGACTGAGAGAGCTGGGTTCTTTACAGGCAGGGGTCGTGCTGGCAAGTAGAGCTAAAGAGTGTTGTAACACTTGCCTGAGTATGGCAGAGTCCAGGCTGGCCTAAGAAACCCATGGGGCTCAAGGGGCTGGGGCAGCAAAGGTCATGGAGAGACCTGTCAGCGAGCAAAGCCAAGAAGAGGTACTGACACTTCATGGTCAAGATTCAATCAAAAACTTATCAGAGGTCCCCTCAGGCTGAATGAAAGTGATTATCTATAGTATTTCAAAACCCATGGCATTCTATGTCGTGACATCAGCTTTGTTGACACCGTTGCATTATCATGTATTCGAGTCTAATCAAACCCAAAACCAAACTCACTAACATCAAGTCGATGCTGACTCAAAGAGAGCCCCCACCCCCGCCATATTGGTTTCTGAGATTATAAGTGTTTATGGGAGTAGAAAGTCCTTCTCTCTCCTGAGGAGTGGCTGGTAGTTTCAAACTCCTGACCATGAAAATCACAGCCCAACTCATAACCACTATGCCACCAGGGCTCCTAGAGTCTTTAATATAAATGTAAAAATATTTTATTTGCTAAAAAGGAGAAGCTAGGAATCCCCAAAATAGACTTTGGGGGCATCACTTGGCACCTCATCAGACTCATTTGGAAAATATTCATAAGGGTCAGCAGACAGACCTGGAACTATTCATAGGCTTTAAAAAAATCCATGTCTATCTATATAAGATAGGCAGGGAAACCATCCTGAGGAGAAAACAACAGGACTGATGGTTCTGGGGTGATATGGGAGAGGGGGAGGTGGGGGAAAGGAAGTGGGAGCCAACAAATCCAAGGACAAGGGAACAACAAGTGATCTAAAATTGATGCAAGGAGGGCATAGGATGCCTGGTGGGGTTTGATCAGTGCAATGTAGCTGAGAGGAATTACTGAAAGCCAAATGAAGGCTGCATATGATAGTGGGACAGGAAAAAAGTAAAAGGAAATGGAGGGAAAAAACTAGTAGACAAAAGACATGTTTAGAGGTATACTTACAGGCACATACATATGTAAATATATTTATATACAACGATAAGGATATAGGTCTGTGTACATATATTTATTTGTTAAGAATTAAGGTAGCAGACAGACATTGGCCTCTACTCAAGTACTCCCTCAACACAAGAACACTTTGTTCTAATAACCTGGCATTCTGTGATGCTCACCTTCCCGACACAATCACTGAAGACAAAATGGGTGCATAAGCAAATGTGGTGAAGAAAGCTGGTGGTGCTTGGCTATTAATAGATACAGCATCCAGGGGTCTTAAAGGCTTGAAGATAAACAAGCAGCCATCTAGCTGGGAAGCAACAATACCCACATGGAAGAAGCACACCAGCCTGTGTAATCATGAGGTGCTGATAGGATCAGGTATCAGGTATCAAAGACCTCAAACAATCATATTGATGTGAACGAGGGGGTCAGAATGGAGACCCAAAGCCCATCTGTAGATAATTGGACATCCCCTCTCAGAAGGGTCACAAGGAAGGGACCGTAACTCTTGGAAAAATACAGGGTCATGAAAAAGGAGGAAGACCTCCAATGAGCTGGATTGACACAATGGTGGCAACAATAGGCTGAGGCATAACAATTGTGAGGAAAGTGCATGACTAGACAGTGTTTCATTGTTTTCACTATGAGTGGGAACCAACTCAATGGCACCTAACAACAACAACATATGCAGATGACACAACCTTGATTGCTGAACGTGAGGAGGACTTGAGTCACTTCCTGATGAAGATAAAAGAGTTGCCTTTAGTCTTGCAACTCAGTAGAAAGAAATCCTCACAACTGGAATAATAGACAACATCATGATAAAGGAGAAGAGGTTGAAATAGTTGTGTTAGGCAGTGTTCTCTAGAGAAATAAAAGCAGGACACTTATGATTAAATATATACGAGGATAGGTTTATACAGTGAGAAGGGATATAACAGCTAATTAGTTGTGCCAGTTATATAATCACCTGTCAACTTGAGAAGGGGTGGAGTCTAGTCTGTCAATCAAGTCACAGCTTGATGACTTCATTTGGAGGTGCGAAGGAGATAAATATCTTACTGGAGGCCAGACACACTCTCTGCTTTGTATTCTTGTTGACAAGCCACATGGAGCTATGCTGATGGAGCCAGAGCCCTGAAGCTGGAGGAGCCACGTGGAGACCCACACCAGTGCTGTGATGCTTCCACCGCCACTGGATCCAAAAGACTTTCCACCCACTAGTCTGTGATCTTCCTGCATTCAGCATCATTGCATGGCTGCGTGAGTCTAAAGAGGAATTTATAGACTGGTATTGGACAGTATGGACTAATATCGGACTTATGGACTCGGTCTGGACTGGGCTGGGATGTTTTCTTAATATATAATTACTCTTTGATATAAAGTATATATATATATATATATATATATATCTGATATATATATATATATATATATCTGAGTTTGTTTCTCTAGTCAACCTGGACTAACAGACAGTTTTGAGGAGGACTGGTCATGTCTTTTGTAGGATGAATTCTATAGCTGCAGTGAGGTGAATTACTTGATGTGGCCCTGCTAGCCACAGCCTTTGTAACTCACACCAAATGCCTGGGTAGGATTGTGCAAATGTCAGGTACTTGTGTGCCAAAAGGGGGTTTGGATACCTTGCAAATAATGTAAATAAGGTACATGATGCCTTTGTGAGGTGGAGGCATGTAAACAGGTACATAGAACAAGGAAATTGGTCAGTTTGCCATTCCACTAGGCTTTGTTATAGTGGGGGAGAAGATCCCCAAATTCAAACATATTCTATAAAAACCCTTTTATCTAACTTTGCCTGGGACGAAAACAAGACAAAGACAATCATCTAGTTAAGGGAAGCCATCAGCATGATACCAAAATAGAGTCTAATGAATTCATGGTCACAAGCTAATTATAAATGAAGGCAATCACCACAAAATTAGTAACAGGTCAACTCATCACTCACAGGCAGGACTACAAGAGTGGGGAAAGGACCAGGATTAGGGTACAGACAAAATTACAGACTCAAAAGGCTTACATGATTGGCTTTGGGGGGTTGATCACCTGGCTATGAGGTCATCAGAATATGTTCCACCACCACGAGGCCTCCAGAACCCTCATTTTTAGATAACGGTCAGCTCTTTCCAGTACCTTAGCAAGGACCTGCTCGGGCAAGTTCCCTCACTCAGCGAAAGCTTGAGGGTGAACTGCCCCTCCCTGGGTTCACTGGGAGCTGTCATCTACTTTCAAATGCACGCTGTCTGTTCTTTGAACTGGGTAACAGAAGAGACCAACTAGTCCCTGGAAAAGGACATGGTGCTTGATAAAGTCGAGAGTCAGAAAAAAAAAGAAAAAGATGCAGTCTCTCGACGAAGTGAATTGGCACAGCGTCTGAAACAATGGGCTCAAACATGATGAGAATGGCGTAGAATCGGGCACTGTTTTACTCTATTGTACACAAGGTTGCTGTGAGTCAGAGCCAACTCGTTTGCACTTAAAAACTTGTGTTTACCTGAATGTACTATGGACATTGAATGTTTCCCTAATCTGGTGTTATAAAATCTCAATTCATGATAATAAAAATGAATACTGGGTATAATAGATTACATAATACTTATAAATCTGACATCAGGAAATCCTTTAAT